TGGCCGGAGAAGCGGTGTGTCGGTGCGCGCCCGGGATCCGAACCCGGGCCGCCAGCAGCAGAGCGCACGCACTTAACCGCTAAGCCACGGGGCCGGCCCAAGAAAGCCTTTTCTAAATATGAATCACAGAGGGGATGCTTGTCATAGCAAACAATCATCATAAATAGCTTAATATTTTAATATAAAGAAGATTATATATATATATATAATTTCATGGGTTGAAGAAACAAGACTCAGAGATTAGGTATAGATATCAGGAAAAGGCAAAACTGTAGGACAAAGAATGGGTCAGTGGTTGCAGGGGCTAAGGTGGGGAAATGTTTGACTACAAAGGTGCAGCACAAGAGAATTTTTAGGGTGATAGAACTGTTTTGTATCCTGACTGCGGAGGTGGTTACATGTGTTAAAACTCATAGAACTGTACACCAAAAAAAGGTGAATTTTACTGTATGTAAATTAAAAACAAATCACGTGGATAGTGAGTGGCAGAATAAGGGCTAGAACCTAGGTTTTGTGACTCTTTTAACACATTGTCCTCTGTCTTTTCTCCTTGTTGGTCATCACTGATCTTTGTCTACCCTGTCCCAGATAAAGTGTGTCCTCTTTTCCAATCATCAGAATGCATTTAACTTTTTCTTTAGGCCACAGTTTTTCATCTAGAGCCCCCAGATAGGTTACTGTTATTTTTTTTAATAGCATCTACTTATTCTCCGAGTGTCACAAGAGGTGGAGGAAGAACCTTCCGGGCAGAGGGTTGAGGCAAAGCTTGATGGCTGGAAAGAGAAGGCCCATTTGAGGAACTGAACAGTAGCCAGTGTGGCTGGAGTACAGCGAAGGAGGGGAAGTAGGATCAGGGAGGTACAAGATGAGTCTGGAGAAGTGAGAGCTAGACCTTGTAAAGCAATACTAAGGATTTTGGATTTTATTCTAAAAGAAATGGGAAGCCGCTGAAGTGCTTTAAGCAGAGACTGACAAGATAAGAGTTGGAAATATCACTCTGGTTATAGTGTAGAGGATGGGTTACAGGGTGGGGTGCAGTGCTATGGTGGATTCAGGGGGACATAGTAGGCGGCTCTTGCAGTACACTAGGCAAGAAGTGCTGATAGCTTCGTATAAGGCACTGATTCTCAACAGGAGGGCTGTTTTGCCCACCAGGAGATATTTGGCAATGTTTGAGACATTTTTAATTGTCCCCACGAGCTGGGACGAGGGGTGGGTGGGTACTGCTACTGGCATCTAGTAGGTAGAGGCCAGGAATTCTGGCAAAACATCCTATAATATACAGGGCTACCCCCCACGACAAAGAATTATGTAGCCAAAAATGTCACTAGTGCCATGGCTGAGAAACCCTAGTATAGGGTGATGCCAATGGATATCGAGAGGATAGATTTGGAAGATATTTAAGAGGTAAAATGGATAGTATCTGGTTTTAGGTTGGATACTGAGGAACAGGGAAAGGACAATTTCTAAATTTCTGGCTTGTACAACTGGGTGGGTGGTGGTGCCTGTCATTCAATAAAGACAAAAATCTGGAGGTTAGAGGTCCAGAAGATATTGCCCAGTGGAGAACACATATTTTTTTTTTCCTTCATTAATCCTTTAGCCTTTCTGTTTAAATGTCTTCCACTTCCTTTATTTCATTCCATTCATTTCTAGTTATGATGCATCAATTTCATGGGCAAGAATGAGGATTATTGC